CACAAAATGTAACGCCCAGGTAAAATGGTGTTGTGAGCAAAACAAACGGGTGCTGAGAACCGAGAGCTCCGCTGAGCCTTATAATAATCACCTAATTTCCACTACCTTTATTTTTTACTGCACACCAATTCTGATACGTACTACCTGTCAAGCAATAAAACTCATTTTTCTCTACACACATAACTCTTTTCCGCGTGGAAAATGAATTTCCCACAAAGTAATTTGAACTAACCACGTCATACCCCACGATTCACTGGAAAAGAGAAATTGTTCGGTGTATGGTATTGCGATGGACAAACGGTGGACAGGTTACAAAAGTTACAAAATGACGATCGAGGCCACACAGAGTATGTAAATGTAGAATAAGTACAGGTGAATAAAATTGGAATTAAAATAGTGTTGAGTTGGGCACAAATATTTTACTAATCGCATTTTAAGTTTTAAAAGATCGTTTTATTATACACTTCTTTTGTTACGATGAGCACTAAGCGATGAACTAAAAGTGTTTGTGCTTGACGTTCCACGATTCGTGAGCTAGGTACCACCTGAATTTCTTCCTTCAAAAGTTTACAAAAGTAAAACAGAAACACCAATAAACCACAATAACGTATCATCAACGGACAATTCAGTTGTGGTTCAATAGCCACAAGTGGTTCCAGTGTTTCCAGTTTCCAAAGTTTCGCTACTTTTTAAGCTAACGCTTAAGGGCGCGCTATCAGTATTGTGTGTTGCCTATCTCACAATAGCTTTCTTATGGGAAACATGCCTAACGTAATTCATACCGTTTTTAAAAACTATACATTTTTTTTGGGAAATGTTTGTTGTTTCTTGTTCCTAAATGTATGTAAATTATGAGTGAACAGTTTATATTGCATTAAAACTCATAGTACATTCTCTGAAAGCGTATAAAGTAGACGTTCGGTTGCAATGACATTCTTTTGTGTATAATTCAAAGAAGTTTTTGCAATATAAATGGTTTCTCTAGATTCTTGCACATATAATAATTAAAACGTGATGTGAAAATCAATTAAATGTGGTTTCTAAAGCACAAACGGTATGAACTCCGTACACTTGAAGAATACCTCCTAAAACAATTATAGTAAAGAAATCTGTTTTCAATGTAGTTCAACGTGTATGCACTAAGATGGCTACGGTATACTACTTAAAAAGCGGGAAATTTAAAGTGGAGTACTTATTGGAATGTATTAATGTACCTACTTTTTAGCAGTGTAACTTAGTTCTTTATTGGTTTTTTTGGTCATTAGTGCAGATAAAATGTTTCCAGCAAAAAACCGTATCATAAGTAAGAATTACACTGGTTAACGCAACCTACATTCAAAATTTGGATTAGGAAACTGGCAAAAGAAGTATTTATAAATGTTGAGTGAAGGATCAGGGGATTTTTCACTCTACCTTGTAATTAATTAATATAAAAATTTCAGAGCTTACAACTGGAAGAAGTGGAAAGCGATTATTTTAAAAAAGAGTTTACGTTACTTGATGTTTCTGAAATGATAATACACAAAGTGTTAATACTGCTTACGTTCACCAGACAAAGCGCTTCATGAGTGCTACTTAAGGGCAGGAATACACTATCAAAATTTCTCGCCCAAGCTACACTGTCGAGATGTACATTGTACAATACCACTGTAAGTCGGATGTACGGTGGTATTTACACCTCGGCAGTGCTATCAGACAACTCATGCAAGAAATCACTAACTGGAGATTATACAGTGTGTCCCAGATCGCGTGGGATTGCATGGGTAACTTTGTTATTATTAGAGATAGAGAATTGGTTAAATGGGCAATGTTTTGCAGTTTTAGATGCTTATTTAAAATTTCCTTATGGAAATTCAAAATGTCGCATAGGTTCGACGTAAATTCAAAAAAACTAAAATTGGTCATTTCCTTGAATGTCTTATATCATCGAAAGTATAAGAGATATAAAAAAAAGTTTTATATAAAAGTGACTGTCTTTGATACGCTTAATTTAGAATTGATGTCAAAAAAAATTCAAGATGGCCACTTTTGAGGAACATTTACCAACTTCCTAAAGTTAAATGGGCGCCATATTGGATTTTTAGATTACTTGATAGATTTTTTAATTCTCTTTTCAACGAGCCGTCATAACATAAGATTGAAAATAAGATACCAGTTATATGAACGGTTTTTATATTTTAATCAAGTAGGCTGTGATGAATTTAAAAAAAACAAAACAAAATCTATTCGAGCCAACAAAACAATGAAAATAATTACATCAGATGTTTAAAAAATCAGGGATGCACTCATGAGAGGGCGGTTTGGGCATTACAACTCCCTCCAACATTTTATATAAGTAGACCTAGAAAAATTTTGATTTTTATATCATCACTTATTGACTATCTTATTATCCATACTTACATACCTACAAATGGTGGTAGGTATAACTACAAACTATCCCCTCGAAAAAATGTCATGTCATTATCCAGTTAAACACATTTCAAGACACTTTGCTTTATTGTACACATGTATTACCATTGATGCATTATCCCAGGTCACATTTTGTAGGTCAGTAGGTGGTTTATCCGCAAGAATATCGAAACTAACAGTTTTACCAGTCCGAGTATATGAACAGATGAATCTGATGAAACTGCGGAGTGTTCAAATCGACATAATGAACACTAATACTTGTCACAGGCAAACGTACATGTTGTAGTTTCACGCCGAAATCAAGTAATATTTTTTTTAATTAATGTATTTTATGGCATAATGGGAAGTCATGTAATTGGCCGGTAATCTTCGTTGGATCTGAAACTGCTCACCATTATTTACAAATTCTCCAATAAACTTTCTTAAAGGATTTTTCTCGACAACGTATGTTTCGAAGAAAGGGTTGGTTTATTCTACCTACTAACAAGCTGTCTGCACTGGTCACAATTCACGAATTATGTACAGTACATTAAATTATAAAAGTAAGTACTTAATTAAAAAATAAAAGTAAAGTGGAAGTAGCTACCACTACAATAATAATAATAATCATCAATGGCAACACGTTGCCTAAACTAAACTGTCTTGAAGTGTGTTTCACTAATAATGGCCAGTATTTTAAACATCTGGTGTAATTATTTTCATTGTTTTGTTGCCTCGAATAGATTTTGTTTTGTTTTTTTTTATTCGTCACAGACTACTTGATTAAAATACAAAAACCGTTAATATAACTGGTATCTTATTTTCAATCTTATGTTATAATAGCTCGTTGAAAAGAGAATTAAAAAATCTATCAAGTAATCTAAAAATCCAATATGGCGCCCATTTAACTTTAGGAAGTTGGTAAATGTTCCTCAAAAGTGGCCATCTTGAATTTTTTTTGACATCAATTCTAAATTAAGCGTATCAAAGACAGTCACTTTTATATAAAACTTTTTTTTATATCTCTTATACTTTCGATGATATAAGACATTCAAGGAAATGACCAATTTTAGTTTTTTTGAATTTACGTCGAACCTATGCGACATTTTGAATTTCCATAAGGAAATTTTAAATAAGCATCCAAAACTGCAAAATATTGCCCATTTAACCAATTCTCTATCTTTAATAATAACAAAGTTACCCATGCAATCCCACGCGATCTGGGACACACTGTATATTGGATAACAAATGTACATGTCACTTACAACTAAATTTAAGCACTATAATAGTAACGAAACCCCACCGATTGGATCTCGGTTCTCATAATTTGAATGAACTACATACTATCGGTATTATATCAAAATATGATTTTATTTCACATCCAAACAAATAACATTCAATTACGAGCTAGTATTGCAAATCTGGTTTTCCTAAAAATATTGCGTGGATTGTCATTTGTGATCATAAAGGCTGAGTCACAGTATCAGTTAGAGCGTGTATTCCTTAAGGTCGATTCACATTATTATCGGTCAGAACATGTTTGTAAGAAACTGACCATGATGAGACCGATGGCCTTATATAAACGCACTGTAATGACATCATTCGGTAAAATGATAATCGGAAACAAATTTACTCCGTGTCGAAAGTCAATCTTCGGAAATGTGTACAGTCGAAGGATAGCCTAAAACAATCCATTAATAGAACTATATTAATATAAAGATCCTCAACTTTACTTACCTAGGTAGGTACTGTTTTTTTTTGTTATTTTGCAGTTAATAGAAAATCAGGTAAACATAATCCATAACATAACCCAACTTTGAATGGCATTTCAGGAATTACAATTACGCACTGTTATTGGCATTCAATTGAATTACTGAACAAAACCACATATTATGGTAAATAAGTATTTTTAGGTAGAATTTATTTCGCATGATCACTAACTTCTCTTTTTAGAGTTACGGAACGATATTTACAGTTACATGTGGTAACCAAAGATAAGCAAAATACTATTTTTAATTTTATCTCAAGCAAAAACGAATGTATGCGAGTGTTAGCGACTTAACGAAGTACATATAGGTATCGCGGGTTTGGGGTGGCAGCACAAAGCGACCAATATTTCAAAAATACTTCTTAGTTCACTTTTCTAACACCATGGCGTGCAAATGCACCCTTAATGAATCGAATCTGCTGAATAAACACTCAGTGTATTCGAAAACTTAAAAAGCAGTGCATTTTCTCATACTGAGTATATCCATCAACTAATCCTTCAAAATAGCATGAAATGAAATGAAAAATATCTTTGCACCTTTATTAAATGTGAAAATACACAACTCAAATATACTGATGGAATACACAAAATACGTTTACCGTTATACGAGTATCCATCTCTGGGAAAAATAATGTTAGAAAGTCAATACTCTCAGCAAATAAAAGTACTAAGTACTCAACTTGTTAGTTCACAAAACTGTGTAAAGGTATCTGAACTGCAAAATAGTGCGCTCTATAATGAAGTATGTACATTTACTGAGTGTTTCATTTACATTAACATTTATCTGTTAACATATTTCAAACTTTGTTCCAGCCAAAAATATTAACTTTTAATTTCTTTACAGGTATTCGTACAAAATAAAACTGAAAAGACTGCCACAGAACACAAAAACAAAGAAACAGAGAAATGTATGTCTAGAAACACCAAGACAAACGCCACCACTACCACAAGACGAAGTAGTATAGACTTATATGAGGAAGCGGCTGCGATTTTGGGATTAACTTGTTCAGAAACTAATAGTTGTAGATGTTTAGAATGTCAGGTATACCACACAACTATTTCTATTGACCGTTCTTGTTTAGTCTTAATGAATTTCGTGCTTCGGAATATTTGAGAACGAGATGCTTGCGGCTAACACCAAAACCAATACCTTCGCGTAAACTTGTACCGCCAACTTCGATCGTACGAATTTGTATTATCTATATATAATTACTTTAGTTCGACTACATTGCCACATTAAACCGATATGCCCAATAGGAGAAATTAATGTGACACCTAAATCTGTTTAATAAACATGCAGTATTGCACTAATTCCCTTGTTATTTTGAGGTAGAATGTTCAAAATGGTTACAATTTTGCAACATAATTAATAATAGAATTTGTAGTTACGGTACGAATTCTCCGATATTTTGCAAATCGCCATAACAATGTTTGTTAAGCTTTGTTTTTGTCAAGCGTTTTCGATGTTTTAATGTGTATTGCGTGAAACTCATTTTCCGACACTTGGAAGAAATAAGTTTCTACCAACAATAGTCCTCCTCGGCCCCTTATCGTGATCCATTGGTAATGTCAAAAGTGAATATCTCGAAAACGGCTTGTCGGAGGGAAGTAAAACAACATTTTGAAATACATATACTCTTCAAATTTCCTTTGGACAGTGAATGGCGAGACAGATGGATTTCGTTTCTAAGATCTGTCTGTAGTAAAATGTATGTAATTTTTATTTCGGTCTAACGAGCGAACGCATAAAGGACAGTACTCAGGACCTATTAACTACGAGAACGCGGACTAGTATTTGGACAGTGGTTTACAGAACCAAGTTGGAGGCTCGCCCCATGGACAGAATAATAATAATGTCTTTATTATAATAGACGTAGTTCAGTCTAGGTCTGCTTCTTACAGAAGCAAGATTTAAGGCACTATTTGACCTTACTGTCAGCCTTAGTAAACAGTTTAAAACCAAGACCAAACCAGTGCAACTTTCTCTAAAACCGTTCAATGCATATTCATGAAGTGATAAAATTAAATGGCAATTATAAGAGGAAGAGGAGTTAATTAATCCCTTCGGCTAAGTTAATCTAATTTACTGGTAGATTGCGTAATTAGCAAACGTAATTCCCATCGAGCATTTATACCCCCTTTTCGATGCAATCGGACCAGTAAGTTTTGTGAATAAACAGCAACAAGCATAATCAAATTACGCATTCAATTCAATTATTCAATATAAATGAAAAGATTTACCTTTGCAGTATTTCTATGTAATCCAGTTAAATTGTATTTTTACCAGAAAAGTTGTGGGGTAGTTTTGATTTCTTTGATTCTATTTGTTTTTTGGGGTGCTGAATCCGAATCTGAGGTTTGCTAACAAAATTTCATGACGCAACTTTGTAAAAAATACAAAAGAAATTGAAAAAGATATTTTTTGGTAGTTTTGTGCTTACAACTGGAAAACTATCAACTTTTCGAAATAACCTTCCTATTCAAAATGAAAGTAGATAGAATTGTATGAAAAGTTAATTTCTAACGAACAACAGTATATCATATTATTATATTATTAATAATATATAATACTTATACTGTGCTATCTAAAATTATTCCCACTCTCTTCCGAACCAGATAAAGAAATCACAAAACCCTACGGTAGCATGTTTGGATAATTATTGTTGAATTTGGGAAAGTGGCGTTGTGGTCATTATTAATTCCAAAAATTCAAATGGAAAAAGGGGTATATTGATTTCCTATTCAACGGCATTATCCCTCTTGCTCCGGTGTTCTGAAGAATCACGTACTCCTCGGAGTGGGGTAACGCAGGTTACCCCAGCTTAAATTTGTCTGCTAACAACTGAACCCGATTTATTTCTTTTCTGTTTACATGTTAACCAGCGACAAAAAGCGAGTTCATGATTTTGGACTGTCCGTCCGTCCATCTGTGTAACTTTGTGCGCTTGTGTATGTATGTGTATGGGAGGAGGGCCTCGAGACTGCAAACGTAGGTACACGGGGACGTAATGGGCCTTGGCTCATCTGTGAAGGAGTGGGAGAGTTTTATACCAGACGGAACAGTTATAAAATCTTTTGAGGAAACCGGTAGACAATGAAAAGTACGGATTTATATTTGCACAGAATAATAATAAAATAATAATAAATGATGAGTATTTGCTGATACAGCCGTCCTGCCGAAATACGCCAATTTTCAACTGGCGCTCGAGCCCGAACGGTTCATCGAGACAAAAACCAAATATTGGGGTCTGTATGAAATTTTAAGTACTTTCATTTTGAATAGGAAGGTTATTTTCGAAAAGTTGATAATTTTCAAGTTGTAAGCACAAAACTGCCAAAAAAATATCTTTTTCAACTTCGTTTGTATTTTTTTCAATGTTGCATCATGAAATTTTGTTGGCAAACCTCAGATTCGGATTCAGCACCCCAAAAAACATGTAGAATCAAAGAAATCAAAACTACCCCAAAACTTTCCCGCTAGATGCCCGTTTGAGCACAAATGGCCTGTATTAATGATGGATTCGAACTGAATATAATTAACAAAATGCGGGCGGTTACATTTCACATTCTACTTCTTTTTTACTCAGAAAGTTGCTCGTTAAGTTGCATTTTTTTACATCTTTCCTCTGTCAACGAGTATGTTTGACTACCTACCCGAACGCTTTCATTACAAGTTCCAAGATTATCCAGTCCCTAAAATCACATAAAGCAATCAGGCACGCTTACTAGAATGTGTTTTTAGTCACGTCGGCGTCGTCCAATTATTTCTATAATTTATGACCTATAAATTGCGCTAAACAAACATCGTCCGTTTAAACGTTTCTTCTTTCATTGGAACGCACTTTACTCATATTGGGTATCTGAAATCAGAACGAGCTCGAATTCGTTATTTCGATTAAGTAAGCTCCTCAGTTCGCTACGAATATTACCATAATAAAGCGCGTCTAATAAGTTTCGAGCGCAAAATCTACAAAACGTCACATTTAGATTTTTTAGATCTAACGTTGTGTTAATTTATTAATCCCTGATCACTTCAGTGCCTATCCCCATCTTTTATTTTAAAAAATGTACAAAAAATAACTACTGGCACTGTAAAATATTTACAATCTATGTTAGGTTCAGTTTTACTTCTGAATTCACTAAAAATTAAAAAAAAATTGCCCACCGTTCTGCTCCCTCAGACTTCTGGTAAACTTGGTAATTTTTCCGATATAAAATTTTCTCCTTTCTAACCTCAAAATTTCAACCGTAGTTTCGAAGCACCGCGTTGTCATATATCAACTAAGTATAAGCATAAGTATAGGCAGTAGTGTCCTCTGCGTATCGAAACTGATTTGTCGAGAATGAAAAGTACAGGAGCGAGACTACCTATATTAAACAAAAACTTGTATTCCCTCTGAAGGCGCAAAGTATACTTACTTTACGGTATCTTCATAAATAAGAAAGTTGACATCGCGCGGTCTGGGCATGTGCAGATCTAATTTTTATTATTTGCGAAATGTTTTGCTTTTACTATAGAAGCATCTGTATTTAAAATACCAAAAAAATATCTTTAGAAGAAAGATCACATTACGCATGCGAACATTAGATGTTTATTATATGCGATATGTTTGTGTTTACTAGAAACATCTTTGGTGGGAATTTCGAAGGAATATCTCTTTAAATAAGCGTTGCATCTGCAGTTATTAAGCTACTTAAACGCGTTTTTGTGCGACAAATCGAGGTTTTATTAGCGCTGAAATATCATCTGCATGCAAAGAATTGTAATAAAGCCAATAATACTTCAAACCCGAGCATTGTACGATGATTCCGTCGATAGTTTATACTAAAAATCCTTTGCAGTCCACCGACCGAATAACTAAAGTGAATATATAAGCGCTACTTTTTTCAAAATCGTGCTACAAATATATTCCATATTTGATTTTTGTCTCTAATGGGGGCATTTATGGTCAAAATTTCAAAGAAATGATACGTGAACATATTTCGTGTTTTGACACTCTGGGGTTTCCCTATTTTATAAGTTGTGCAATATTCGCAACTTATTCATCGATCAAAACGAACTTACCTGTAGTGAAGTTCGATCGGAATTATACTATGTGTTCGGTTCGAAGATATCACTTTGTATTATACGTAGTATGCCATATTGGCTGCCTAACACCACCTATTTTAAAGCAAGTTCAGAATTTCCCTGCGCCCCGACCCCGCCTCTGCTCACGCTTAGTAATTTTTTAAATTATTGTAAGAACCCGTTGCGAAGAGGGGCGTTGGGGGGTGGGTAAGTGATATCTTCGAACCAAACACATAGTATAATTCCGATTTAACTTCACTACAGGTAAGTTCGTTTTGATCGATGAATTATACTTGCAGTGTTCGGTTCGAAGATATCACTTTGTATTATATGTAGTTGTTTAGCGAAATAGATTCGCAACGGAATTTTCTTTACTACTGTGTGAATAACCACCATATAAAAATAAACGTACATTTATTTATATAAGTGAATTTGAATACATCATATATACCCTTGTTATAAAGGTGTAAGATTAATAATAGATTTGGCAAACGCAGTATCGTCGATCAACGGACGATTGTAAAATTTGCCAAAAGTTTGGGAACTTTCGGACCATCCTACTGTTCTGCAGATTGTTTCCAGCGATAAGCCTTGCCTTAGTGCTGCCGAAGAGGCAGAGTGTCGTGTAGAATGCGCTTGAAACGTTGAAGTGTCGATGCCTGGTACGCGAGAACGTTATAAGTGGTACGCGTTGCGTGGGTAAAGCAAGCGATTACGTGTAAGAACCTCTGTATGCGTGTCAGCCGTAATAAAAATGTAAGATGGTGGTACGCCAAAATCTTTAAACATTTTCATGTGGTACGCAGTTGCTAAAAGGTTGGGACCCCTGGTCTAGATAATTTATAGACAGAATGCCTCGAGATATCAAATGTGAGACTATAGGTTTCATTAATTTTGTATAACAAAAAGGTGCTGAAGATAAGCCAAACGGTAAACAACAACAACAATTGCCATAGGTCTGAATTGTGATAAAAACGAAGAAATATTCTCGATTTTTTATCCACAGGGATTAAGAAATACGTATCCTTTAAATCAATATGTGCCATAAAGTACGATTTTTGTATCATAAAGGATGCGATCCTGTAGTCCTCCATTTTGAAGTGAGGAGACATCATATAAGAATTTAGCTGTTTTAAGTTTAAAATAAACCGCTTTTTACCATTTGGTTTATTCCTTAAAAACACGTTAGAGATGAATTGTTCCGGACAAGCAACGCACCTTTCTATTGCACCCAATGCAATAAGGTCTTTAATCGCTTGTGCCATGTGAATTTGATCCGAAACCGACAATGATATTTCTGTTGGGACCTTATATTGTATTGGATTTTTGTAAAAAGGTATTTTATATCCTTTAATCCAACATAAGACAATAGGATTCTTGCCAATTCTTAAGAAAGAATTTTAGTCTGCCAGCGTCTGTGTTACTTACCCCTACTTGTTCCTGTAATTCGAAAATTTCCTGTCGTTTCTCGACGGCAGCGCCTTTCGTGACTTGATCTCCCTCGGAGGATAAGTCAGGCGTCTCCTGTTTGAATTTCCACCCGAATAATAACCTGGTCTAGCCTGGTAAGGTCTGGATGGTGCCGCTCCCCCTCCTTTTCCTTTCCTCAAGGACTGCGGTGGGGGTTGAAAAGTAATTGGTATACTTTGTTTCACTGGTGCTGAACCTGACGTCATAAATGTGATTCTCTCTTCATTACATTTAAATCGATTGAGACAAAAAAATTACGTCATTAACGTAAGTCGTGACAAATAAACCAATTGATCTGTCATAATATGAATCCGTCAAATGATTTTCGTTATAGACAGATTTCCAGTGTTAAATGCCTTTTGATTAGGTAGTTTGTGTTAAAAGTGAAGTAAATATCATCAAAGTTAAAAACGCTTAGGCAAGTCGACAGTGCAGCAACGCCGTTAATAGACAAGTATTTAAAAAATTTTACATAATGGTTCGATTCGCTCATATCATGAATTTAGGTCATTCCCGTTACCATTAGGTAAATATGACGAACCGATACACAGAATAAAGAGGTTCGCTAGAACACTTAGGTATTGAATTGATTTTATAGGTGAGAATGTTACACTCCGTTCCTTACACAGTAATCTTCAACGACTTGATGGCGTCGAAATATCTGGTACCTCTTTGTCCCGCAGTTTGAAGAAACTGAAATTCACGTGGCGGAGATGCACCGTTTCCAATAGATTATTTTTAATGGAACAGCCCTATGCAGTTCAAAGAAGACTACAATTTTTGAGAGACTTTAAACACAACGAAACTTCACTCTTTCCATTACGACCTGTGGTTTTAGACGAAACCTGGATGTACAGTAAAGGGTCTTTTAGAAGAAGCTGGCAAGATGGTACTCTCAAAACAGTTAGAAAAAGAAGTGAGTGAAGGGGTCCGGTATATACCTACTACTCCATGCAGGATCAGAAGATGGATTTGTGGTGTAGTGTCGTTTTTTCTTTTGTACATACGATTTGAATATGAACATTTGAGAGTTTTTTCAGGAATAAATATTATCACTACCTGTTTTCTCTCACAATTGCGTTTTTTTTTTTTAATAAATCGGATCAGAAGATATTCAAGATCCTTATGCGAATATCTCGACTGTGTGGCAAAAGAACAGCGTTGCGTTGTTATTTCAATGAGCCAGTGGTATAATGACTACGCTTTATCTCAAATTTGTAAGATGTATAAATGCAAAAGGCTTACCGATAAACCATGGCCTATTCTACTTCTGCAAATGGCTAGTTAAGGGTCATTAAAATTCGCGCAACTTAACGCGTATTCTTCACATTGGTAGCATACCTACTTAATTTTACATCAACATTATGTAAACAAAATATTAATTTACGAACTGCCTAAACAAACTTTAAGTTACAAATGGTCCTATGCGTTTTCTGTAACCATCATACACTTCATCTCAAAGAGTTTCGGATGCTCTGGCAGTATCCATTTCGATTGTCGGTGCAAAGAATCGGTTACGTGAGGTGATTACAAACGGTGGAAAAGGTTTAATTCATACCAACGGACTTCCTCTACATAAAATACATGACCATTTACCCATTATAAAACTTAAGAACAGGAAAAAACCTATCAGGACCAGATGCCTTATAAGTGATTGTCAACTTGGGCGGTCTAATCATGATGAACGATAGTGACACCTTAATAAATAAGTTGAAACGTCAATGTGACAATATGTAAACCAACTACTAATTTACGACCTGCCTTAATTTTGCTATGACGTCAGATAGTGTGACGAAAGGTTCAGCACCCTTGAAACAAAGTATATTAGATCCTTTCCTGCCTTTTCGAGCTGTTTCGCCAATTTGATTTTTTCAGTCAAATCTGCAGCAAAAAGAAAATCGTCTGGTGGACTGCTGTTCGCTATTTCTGAGATAGATTTGCTCATTAAAGGCGATACCAAGCTCCTTCTAACTTGGGAAATGTTATTAAAAAGGCTGGAAAAAATGTTTCCCGCGTCGGCTAACGATTTAAGTAAAATTTCTTTCGTTGAGTTCTGTAAATTTTTATCGTCGTCAAAGATTTTGTTAAGGGCGATGCCTATAGCCGATAAACCGCTACACAATTGTTCTTGGTAGTGAAAGTGCGTTGCGTCTCTAGAATTGTGAGGGATAGTCATAATCGCCTTAATTTCCGGATTCACCAACGGTGGGATCAGAGCCTTGCAGTTTGAAGGATGATTGTATTTTTGTAAAAGTTGGGATTTTTCGTCTTTTTCTAGCCCGTTATAAATAATATGAGACCATCTTCCAGCTACTTGTGAGTGTAACTCGAAAAGGTTTGGTTTTTTCGTATTTGGATCGTCGCCTAATAAAAAAGTAAGACGTCATCCGACAATTCCAATTCGTTGTGGACGGAAATATCTGGAGAAGAATCGGCGTTTAATAACTGTTGATCACGCACGTGGATATCAGATGACTCGCACTCGGAGTCATGCTGTGAATGGCCTTCAACGCGCCGAGAATCTGTCGTCAGCGACTCCGGGCGATAAACGCGACCATTGTTCAAGCTGTTTTGCGAGTTCGATCCCCGCAGTGATCGACCCTCGCGGTCTTTACGCGTAATAGATGAAATAGGGATTGGGCGATAACTGTTTTCACCTATCGATAAGTATCGGGTACTTAGCTATCGATATATTTTACTTATCGATATGCCGATAATTATCGAAATATCGATTGTTATCGATATATCGATAGTTATCGATATGTCGATAGTTATCGATATATCGATAGTTATCGATATGTCGATAGTTATCGATATATCGATAGTTATCGATATATGAATACTATCGATAGTTATCGATATATCGATATGTCGATAGTTATCGCTAGGGATGGGCGATAACTGTTTTCACCTATCGATATAAGTATCGGGTACTTACCTATCGATATATTTTGCTTATCGATATGCCGATAATTATGGAAATATCGATGGTTATCGATACACCGATCACTATCGAAAGATCGATAACTGTCGCTATATCGATAAGTATCGGTATATCGATAGTTCTCGTTATGGCGATATAATATTACCGATAATTTTTTTGAAAGCGTGTCTAAAAACTGCATGAGTTTACTTTTATATTTTGGCGAAAGAGCCCGACAAGAGAAGAGGGCTCTTTTAACAAAATATGAAAATAACCGAATGCAGTTCTTGCAACTTTAATGGAGTTACCATATTAACTGTGCAATTATCGCAGGGCTCTTTAACTTTCTACAATGCAATTACCGCTGTAATTAAGCGGTAATTGCACGCCTCATTTGAGAGAAATATTCGACGTATCGATAGTTATCGACAGGGATAGTTATCTTATCGAGTTTTATTAATAAAATCCATTTTCCAGTTTATTCTCGTGTAAAGTGACTATTAATAGTTACTCGACGTTTCTTTGCTACCTTTATCAAGAGTTTTTTGTTAGATTTCGTAAATGTCAATCAATTGAAACTGTATATTGTGAGGAAACGAAATTAAGGGTGAGGAAATAATCTGCCCAAACCAGTAAATGAGATTTCCCCCAGATATTTCCACTTAATTTCGCCCCTCCTAATCGTCTTCCCCACCAGATCTCCAAGCTATATATACCTGTGTCAGTCCAGTGTTTGTAACTTTTGCTTCTACCTTTACCAGTGCCTTTTGCTATTAACCAGCCTTATTTACCTGTCATTGATTACTGCACCTTTAACCGTCGTTCCATTTCCTGTAAAACCGTTGTTAACCTGCACCCCCTGTCGTTCCTTGTGTTGAGTGTGTTGCCGTTAACCCTAGAGTGTTTATAGTGTCATTAAAACAACAATCTTTCAACCCTTTATTAAAAACGTGCAAGTCGTTACCTCTATTACTCTGACCAGTTCCCAATTCCCCGAGTAATTCCAGTTCCTAGGTGTACTCCCTAGCGAAGGGGTTACTACAACAAGTATTCCTCAAGATTACCAGCTACTCTCCGTATGTTCCTACCTGTCCGTGTCTTCAAAACAAAATCGGAGCGTGACTCCTGGTTTTAAACGAAGTACACCTCCGTAGTATCTTCCCGTCGCCCCGTCCTGCCTAACCTGGGGCACAGTGCTCCCGCCTACGTTAACCATAAGGGGCTGAAAGCCGTCACGTGAAAGGTTAGTTGTTACAGTTCGAACACTCACCCCGCAGGTTCTGTTGGTTACCCCGTTCGGGTGGCGCAGCCCTCAATCCCGCATCAATTAATTTGTTACATTATAGACAGCACTGCACGTGGAAATTAACCTACAGTCCGACACGAAAACGGCATTGACAGCAAACCAGCTGACACGCTGGGGCCAGATAACTACCGGCAGATGGCAGTACTCCCCAAGTAAATACGAGGACTGCTCCGGAAATCTTTTATATTATTTTATTTTGTATATATATATTTTTATTTTCTATTTAGACAATACACTTTTACTTTTCTTTGCTCGCCAATTATTTCCCGACGCTACCCGAGGCTGTGGGCAAAAGCCGGAACGTACCCAGGGTTGCTCACATGGTCCGTAAAGTTAGCACCAACATGTAAGGCACAAACAATTTAATGATAATACGTCGATTGTGCTTCGTTTGTGCTTGTTTGTGCGATACATTTTAAAGTCAACACCCGCACCAATATTATGTAATTTCAATTTTTATTATGCGGGTGCCAACTTTTACGTGGCACCCAAAAGGTTAACGAATTAAAATTGTAATATGCTTATTCGTTTGTGCTTCGTTTGTGCTTGTTTGTGCCTTACATTGTAACATCAAAACTCTTACCGTTACTGAGTAATAGAATTTTCAATTATGCGGGTGCCAACTTGTACACAGCACCCAAAAGGTCAATGAACTAAAATTGTCACCCGCTTATTTGTTTGTGCTTCGTTTGTGCTTGTTTGTGCGTTACATTGTAACATCAAAAGTTTCACCGTTACTGAGCAATAGGTACAACTTTCAATTATGTGGGTGCCAATTTACACGTAGCACCTAACAGGTTAACGCATTTATTTACAAATGCTTTTGGGAATGATATGTATGTGTAGGTATTCAATATTTATTAATTGTTAATGTATACATAAAAAGATTACATAAGCTGTACATAAACATTTGTGTGTTAACACTGTGTCAGTAAAAAATAAACGTTTTAAATTAGGATGCTTAGAGACAGTATGTTGACGTAAATGTGCTTATTAATTGTTAATGTATACACAAAGAGAAAAGTTAAACATCAATGTGCATATGCAGTTATAATGATGTTGTACAATATACACAATGGTATCACAATAAAGTCAGATTGATGTAGTTATGGGTCTTACATGCTGTTAATATTATAATTATAAAGCATGTAAGACCCATAACTACATCAATCTGACTTTATTGTGATACCATTGTGTATATTGTACAACATCATTATAACTGCATATGCACATTGATGTTTAACTTTTCTCTTTGTGTATACATTAACAATTAATAAGCACATTTACGTCAACATACTGTCTCTAAGCATCCTAATTTAAAACGTTTATTTTTTACTGACACAGTGTTAACACACAAATGTTTATGTACAGCTTATGTAATCTTTTTATGTATACATTAACAATTAATAAATATTGAATACCTACACATACATATCATTCCCAAAAGAATTTGTAAATAAATGCGTTAACCTGTTAGGTGCTACGTGTAAATTGGCACCCACATAATTGAAAGTTGTACCTATTGCTCAGTAACGGTGAAACTTTTGATGTTACAATGTAACGCACAAACAAGCACAAACGAAGCACAAACAAATAAGCGGGTGACAATTTTAGTTCATTGACCTTTTGGGTGCTGTGTACAAGTTGGCACCCGCATAATTGAAAATTCTATTACTCAGTAACGGTAAGAGTTTTGATGTTACAATGTAAGGCACAAACAAGCACAAACGAAGCACAAACGAATAAGCATATTACAATTTTAATTCGTTAACCTTTTGGGTGCCACGTAAAAGTTGACACCCGCATAATAAAAATTGAAATTACATAATATTGGTGCGGGTGTTGACTTTAAAATGTATCGCACAAACAAGCACAAACGAAGCACAATCGACGTATTATCATTAAATTGTTTGTGCCTTACATGTTGGTGCTAACTTTACGGAGCCTTGCTCACAATATCTAAATTTGAAGTGTTCTTAGCTTTTTCTGTGACTGGTTCTCTGTAACCATCAATCAGATACCGATACATAGGCCATGATTACACCCTTTGATTGTCTTTATTTTATCTAAAGAGTAGCCATTTTGATGCAACATTTTGTTCAACTTTTTGAAGTGCTTCTTTTTTTGAGCAATCGTCAGTAAGACGAAAAGATCTATTTTCTAAAGATTTTATTACTGCGTTTATTTGGCATGGATGTGACGTAGCGCTTCTCTTGAGAAAGGGAGCAAAGTTAAGTTTCCGAAACGTCGAGCAACTAAAAATAGTAAATTTACACGAGAGTAAACCCGGAAATGGATTTTATTAGTAAAAATAGTAGCGCTCGTTGAAATCTCAACAATAACATAATTTTATCGTACCAATAGTTATCGACATATCGATAGGTATCGATATATCGATACTTACCGATTTGTATCGATATATCGATACTTATCGCTATATCGATACTTATCGATAAGTATCGATATATCGATAACTATCGATACCTATCGATATATCGAAACAAATTCCCATGCCTAAGATGAAACCGTCGAAGACGGTGATCTAGACCTGCTCCTCTCACTCGCCAAAGGAGGCGAAGCACATTTAGGGTAGCGAGGGCGTGAATTTGTATCCCGCAGATAACGACCTTCACGACTACTCGCAGAACACGACCGTGATCGTGATCGAGCATCCCCCCGCGATCGCGAAGAGGGAAAAGACGATCTTCTGGTGCTACGAGAACGGGAACACCTATTCGCTCTTTCCAGAAACTCCAGGCGTTTTAATAGATCTTTTTTATGAAGTCTTACTTCCGGAGAGTCACTTCGATCTCTTTTCTTTTTTGATTTTCCCATTCTAAAAAGTAAATAAGACCTGCAATATAAACGGGCTTATATAACAAAGGTTTACCTTAAACACTTTTCAGAACAGCGAAAAAATAAATTAACGTAAGTAACGGAAAACAACCGGCAGTGAAAGCACCAAAACGACGAATGACTAAGCGTGAGCCGTGAGCAGAGACGGGGTCGGGGCGCAGGGAAATTCTGAACTTGCTTTAAAATAGGTGGTGTTAGGCAGCCAATATGGCATACTACGTATAATACAAAGTGATATCGAGAACCGAACACTGCAGTATAATTTATGTTAATGTTTCATTGATGTCATCCACGTTTCTCTTCAGGAAGCAATATAGAGATCAATCTCGTTTACGGCATTTATATAACGTACAACATAATATAAACAACGGCAACATAATTTCTCAAAAGAGAGAGAAATCTAGATGAGCAACTGTTTTTGTTGCGAAACAGATTATACGCGTTCCTTAATAAGAAAATCCGACTAGGACCCTGACGTAAGAGGAAATTTAATTTACTGCTACTCAGTCGACTCTATTACTCGTTGACGTTAATTTGCCCATTTCAATTATTCGGACGTTTTAGTACAATGTTTGTGCAATAAATTATGGAGTTCAAGCTTTTCCTCCCCAAAGTCTCCAACCTTAAAATTTCCCAATTACGATTAGGGTACGCGCTCGTAAGGATTTTGGTATGATTAATAAATGAATGTAAACAAGCATCCTCTTTATGCACGAACTAATTTTGTAAGGTTTACGGATGAAAGAATTCGCGTGCATCTCTTCTCTTTTTGCTAAATAAAGTTTGAAATTAAAAATGTTTGCACCCATTTATATCAACTTTTGTTGGAAAAGTTCGCCCATAAATTCCTTCATTATGGTGAACCAAGTTAAAGTTTGATAAAGCTTCGGGATTAGCAAAATTTTCCCCGTTTCAAGATGGTTTACTCTTCATCATTGTGATTGCCGGGAGAGTCATTTTTGTTCGATAACCGCGATAAAACACATTTATTTTGAGTATATTTAAGCAAATACAGTCATGAATAAACGGCATTAATTTACTCATTGCATACAAATTAATGATAAAAAGTTTTTAGGCTGTAAGGAGCTAATGGTCGTATGCACCGAGTTCAAGCGTTGCTTAAAATCCATGGCAACCATTGTCGCAATAACTAATTGTTGCCATAGATTATAAGCTACGCTCAAGCTAAGCTTCGCTAAAATTTGTCGGTGCAAACAGCCATCATAAGTATTTAAAATCAAAAAATAAATAAATTATAGTGTATAATTAAGAGTATATTATATGATAAGTATTTATTATTAAACAAGTATTGTATAATGATAACTGAAGCTGAACATTACATAAAAACGGCGCAAGACATTAGGACGCAGACATTGGGACGCGGACAATGGGACGTGGACATTAGAAGCATCATGTAGGATGATGATCACCTTACAACGCAGATATTAGGTCGCAGGTAGGACAATAAACGGTTATTTTACTTATTTCATCTATGTATGCGCTCTAACGTCTAGTCCTAGCCTATGATTTGTGTGCTAATGTCCGCGTCCCAGTGTCTGCGTCCTAATGTCCGCGTCCAAATGTCTGCGTCCTAATGTCTTGCGGTCCAATGACGACATCCTATTGTCTGGCGGCCTAATGCCCGGTCACGTGCTCTTCTCATTTCTTAGGGCCGGTTGCACAAAGGCAGTTTAAACCTCATTTAGATTAACGCAATGGATTAAGACATATGATTGGTTGAAATTTTACGTTTTATCAAATTTCAACCAACCTTAGGCCATAATCCACTGGTTAATTCCAAGCGAGGTTTAAACTGCCTTTGTACAACCGGCCCTTAATCTTAGCCTTGACTACTCCTACTTATACTGGCTGTGTCGCCTCTACCTACTACGTCAACACCCTTTCTCGACAAGAGTATAACAAACTTACATTTTATAATAAGATAATTTTAACAACTAATTCCTAATAACTGAACAAAGTTAGTGTATATTGTGGTATTCAAAGCTTTTGTAAAAACGTCAGCTATTTGATCTTTAATAGAAACATATTTTATCAAAATAGATCCCTCTTCTACTTTTTCTCTAACAAAGCAATATTTTATGTCGATATGCTTTGTACGTTTATTAAGGATCCTCAGATCCTTTATAGTTTTGTATTGTCGTCCGTCCGTGTGCGCTCTAACTCTTTAAAAGTAGCCGATTGTGTTGAAATTTGGTGTACGGGTACTTTGGACATTAAGGCCGGACGCTGGTTCAACAAAAGTTATAGGACTTTGAGTGAATCGGGAACAGGAAAAACTGCGCGCCCAATATAGGGTAGAAATCAACATATTTCATTCCCTAGGTCACGTATCGAGTTCGGACTTTCGCTAGATTATTACCTATGACTCTT